CTTCTTTCGACATTAATACGAAATTGATTCCCCTTCACCCTATTATGCTAATGACCAAATTTCAAACTTGGTCAAAATCTGCCCAATCGTTCATGACCAATATCTATTATCAGGGGAAAAGTCGACACACGGAAGGTGGATAACGTACGACAGACGACGGACGCTGCGCCTTTGGACCAGGCGAGTTAACTATTCCGATCTGATATGAATACATGAGCATTCATACATGTATGAGTTACAGGTGTGGTAAACATGAAGGTTACAACAAACAAAAATATCAACATGTCGACATAACCATAATCCAAATTCAATAACACTAGGGCCAAATATGAACAAAAGAAAGATTTTCACGGAGACTCCTGAAATTTACAAGGAAAATAAGACCTGATGTTCCGAGAAAGGAGTAAACATACTGTAACAATATTTAATGTAAGCAAAATCTGTGTACTTTGTATTGCATGTTTATCATAAACAAGATTGTAAGAGTCGATGAATATGAATTACGAAATGATAAGTATTTAACAACTTCATAACAGGTGACAATAACAACATTAGACTGATAACATGCAAGCAAACTCATGCTTCCTACTGGAAATCGAGATAACGGTGACAAGGTATCATACTACAAGAACGAAAAAAGAAGTGGAGCAACAACAATAGCGACATACATGTATAGTGTTATGGTTTAGCAAGAACGTTACTATACAGCAATATGTAAACACAGTGTTATGGTTTAACAAGAACGTTACTACACAGCAATATGTAAACACCGTGTTATGGTTTAACAAGAACGTTACTAAACAGAGACATGTAAACACAGTGTTATGGTTTAGCAGAGACGTTACTATACAACATGTAAACACAGTGTTATGGTTTAGCAGAGACGTTACTATACAACATGTAAACACAGTGTTATGGTTTAACAAGAACGTTACTATACAACATGTAAACACAGTGTTATGGTTTAGCGGAGACGTTACTATACAACATGTAAACACAGTGTTATGGTTTAGCAGAGACGTTACTATACAACATGTAAACACAGTGTTATGGTTTAGCGGAGACGTTACTATACAGAGACATGTAAACATAGTGTTATGGTTTAGCGGAGACGTTACTATACAACATGTAAACACAGTGTTATGGTTTAGCAGAGACGTTACTATACAATATATAAACACAGTGTTATGGTTTAGCAGAGACGTTACTATACAGAGACATGTAAACACAGTGTTATGGTTTAGCAGAGACGTTACAATACAGAGACATGTAAACACAGTGTTATGGTTTAACAAGAACGTTACTATACAACATGTAAACACAGTGTTATAGTTTAGCGGAGACGTTACTATACACACAGTGTTATGGTTTAGCAGAGACGTTACTATACAATATATAAACACAGTGTTATGGTTTAGCAGAGACGTTACTATACAGAGACATGTAAACACAGTGTTATGGTTTAGCAGAGACGTTACAATACAGAGACATGTAAACACAGTGTTATGGTTTAACAAGAACGTTACTATACAACATGTAAACACAGTGTTATGGTTTAGCAGAGACGTTACTATACAACATGTAAACATAGTGTTATGGTTTAACAGAGACGTTACTATACAACATGTAAACACAGTGTTATGGTTTAGCAGAGACGTTACTATACAGAGACATGTAAACACAGTGTTATGGTTTAGCAGAGACGTTACAATATAGAGACATGTAAACACAGTGTTATGGTTTAACAAGAACGTTACTATACAACATGTAAACACAGTGTTATGGTTTAGCGGAGACGTTACTATACAACATGTAAACATAGTGTTATGGTTTAGCAGAGACGTTACTTTCTCTCATTTACACCTGTGTCAGATAGGCCTGTCCAGGGTAATAAACATGGTCATGATAGACGTTTATTACACAGGCGCCTGTGTAATAAAGCCTCGCGCGCGGAGTAATTCATGGTTTTTTTCCCTCGCACTCATCAACTATGTCCTCGTCAACCGCTTCATCCACAAACACGCATAGTCGATTGGAGTCGTTGTTTGCAGGGTCGTATTTACAAAACTGTTCTATAAATATCAACATCACCAACCCTGGGACTCAGCCTTACCGCCGTCGTCCACGTGTGATTGAAAGTGACAGTGACTAACTTTCCTCCTGTCGGTATGGCGCGAAATGTGTGACGTAAGTGACGTCATCTCACAAGCAAACCAAGAATTCCATTCATAAATGTGTAAGATTTATAAGATTACTATTGACAATAAAGTAGTATTAATAACTTGACCAACATGTTCAAAGATGTAAAAAGTGTTTATGATATATTATACACTGAGCAATAGTAAATATTAAAAAGAAATGTGTTGTTTTATTGCGTGTTTTAAGGCACTATATTTGAACGCGTACGCATGTCTCTGGGTGATATATTTGACAGAGTATTTGACCCAGCCCGCTTGAAGAAAAAACAGTTAAACACTGACGTTGGATGTTTACATTCAAAGTCCATATTATGTTTTCGACCGCAAACATAGTTTGCAAAATTCGGGGATGGAGAATCTATTTCAGCATTTTTTTTTTTTTGATGTATATGGCCCAAGGAAAAAAAATAGAAATCTGAAAAATGGCGGCGTCCAGTGATGGCTACCGCGAGGTGAGTGCAAATAATTGATAATATGAGATTAGAAATGAGAGAAAAAAACTCTTTTCTATATGGGTATGTAGGATAGGGATATTCCACCCGAGGGGTCACAAAATGTGGTAAAACCCGAGGCTTGGTGATGTAGGGGGTACAGTAAGTAAAAAAATATATAATGGTGATGTAGGGTACAGTTAGTAAGAAATACATAATGATGATGTAGGGTACAGTAAGTAAGAAATATGTAATGGTGATGTAGGGTACAGTTAGTAAGAAATATATAATGATGATGTAGGGTACAGTAAGTAAGAAATATATAATGGTGATATGGTACAGTTAGAAGAAATATATAATGGTGATGTAGTGTTATGGTTTAGTAAGAAATATCTAAATGGTGATGTAAACACAGTGTTATGGTTTAACAGTAAACACAGTGTTAAGAAATATATAATGGTAAACACATGTTATGGTTTAATAGGGATATTACAACATGTAAACACAGTGTTAGGGGTCACAAAATGTGGTAAAACAGAGTTATGGCTTAGCAGAGGGTTTATACAACATTTTGTAAACACAGTGTTATGGTTTAACATATAGAAAAGAGTCTTATAATACAGAGACATGTAAACACAGTGTTATGGTTTAGCAGAGACGTTACTATACAACATGTAAACATAGTGTTATGGTTTAGCGGAGACGTTACTATACAATATGTAAACACAGTGTTATGGTTTAGCAGAGACGTTACTATACAATATGTAAACATAGTGTTGGTGATCAAGTGTACAGTTAGTAAGAAATATATAATGGTGATGTAGGGTACAGTAAGTAAGAAATATATAATGGTGATGTAGGGTACAGTTAGTAAGAAATATATAATGATGATGGAGGGTACAGTTAGTAAGAAATATATAATGGTGATGTAGGATAGGGATATCCCTATCCTACATACCCATATAGAAAAGAGTCTTATAATACAGAGACATGTAAACACAGTGTTATGGTTTAGCAGAGACGTTACTATACAACATGTAAACATAGTGTTATGGTTTAACAGAGACGTTACTATACAACATGTAAACACAGTGAAATATATATGGTTTAGCAGAGACAGTTTACTATACAATATGTAAACATAGTGTTGGTGATCAAGTGTACAGTTAGTAAGAAATATATAATGGTGATGTAGGGTACAGTAAGTAAGAAATATATAATGGTGATGTAGGGTACAGTTAGTAAGAAATATATAATGATGATGTAGGGTACAGTTAGTAAGAAATATATAATGGTGATGTAGGGGGTACAATATAAAATGGTGATGTAGGGTACAGTAAGTAAGAAATATATAATGGTGATGTAGGGGGTACAGTTAGTAAGAAATATATAATGGTGATGTAGGGGGTACAGTTAGTTAGAAATATATAATGGTGATGTAGGGTACAGTTAGTAAGAAATATATAATGGTGATGTAGGGTACAGTTAGTAAGAAATATATAATGGTGATGTAGGGGGTACAGTTAGTAAGAAATATATAATGGTGATGTAGGGGGTACAGTTAGTTAGAAATATATAATGGTGATGTAGGGGGTACAGTTAGTAAGAAATATATAATGGTGATGTAGGGTACAGTAAGTAAGAAATATATAATGGTGATGTAGGGTACAGTTAGTAAGAAATATATAATGGTGATGTAGGGTACAGTTAGTAAGAAATATATAATGGTGATGTAGGGGGTACAGTTAGTAAGAAATATATAATGGTGATGTAGGGGGTACAGTTAGTAAGAAATATAAAATGGTGATGTAGGGTACAGTAAGTAAGAAATATATAATGGTGATGTAGGGTACAGTTAGTAAGAAATATATAATGGTGATGTAGGGGGTACAGTTCGTAAGAAATATATAATGGTGATGTAGGGTAATACATTTGAAACAAAAGACGTTATCAGGGATGAAGTTGATCAGACGATGGCAACGAATTTTAAGATATGTAATACATATTTGTACAACCTAATTCGTGTTGGATATAGCAAAAAAACATGTCCCTGCTCCTATAAGTATGGGTCATACAAATACAAAAATCACGTCTGCTATGAATTTTAAAACAGCTGGGACCATATTCATAATAACCGACATTTAAAATGCAACACTTTCATTATACATGTACAAAAATAAAACAGAATCAAGAAATGGTGATAGAATGGTTTGTTATCTGCCATACTGGGAGGAATTTTATCAAACAAATGCTAAGTAAATTAAATAGGAAATATATCATGTTAACTGGTGTGCTTGTTTTTCTGGTATTTTTTCTCCAACAGTGTTCGTTAAATTTAGGAGGATGATCGACGTAACATAACACCCTTTGTTCAAGTGTGATCATACAGTCCTTCCGGAGATGTCTTATCTTTATCCTTTTTGAACTCGTCGTAAGCGCTCTCCATCAACACGTTGTGAGCACGGTCATATATGTCTCCTTCGTTTTTGCTTTCTGTTGGCTTACTAAAGCTATCATACTCGCCTTCAGCTTTAGAGTGTTTAGTGTGCGAGTACACGTCATCATCTGCCACGTCTTGTACTCGCTTTCCAAGTTCCCCGTACTCACCGCCCTCAATCTGCCTTATGTTATGAGTATGGTCATATATTCCGGTCGGCTCATTCACGGGCTTTGCAAATAAATCGTACTCGCCTTCCTGTTGATGTTGTCGCGAATGTGAGTACATATCCTCGTCGGGTGAATTACTCGGTTTCTCACCGAGTATTCCGTACTCGCCACCTGGAAAGAAAGGATTATTCAAAAATGTTATCTTCACATTGGTCGTACTATCCTAACACATCATATAACAAACTTTGATGGATATGAGACAATGTGTATTTCGATAAACCAAAAGTTAATTACGGCTGCCATTTTTCAACTATGAAAATCACAATTACTTGGATGTTCAGCTGAACATTGAGCCGCAATACGTTTTGATATGGTCATTATGCTTTCTATTATTAAACGTCTTTAGCGAACATTAATTTGACACATTGTCAGAAAAGTTAAACCCTTTCATCAGTAACCTACAATAAAAATTCCTTTGTTTAATATCATGGTATTTTTGTTACCTTGAATACATATCTTTATATCAAACGTTAGTACACATATCATCAATAACACTTTTTTAAACATGGAAATGGAAATTGTATGATCAGTGCCATATAACGTATCTATGTCAAATCTGACGGAAATAAGAAAATGATAATCATAATCACACCAATAATGCAAGGTGCCATGTTGTTAAGTAGGAAGTAACAAACATGTTCGTTATATCATTATTGGTACTTAACGTACTATAAAACCAAAATGGACAATACTGAAATCGACTAATCATGATGCACTTTACAAGATCTTCATTCATACGCAGATTCTGTTGAACCAATATTCCGCCATCAAGATTTATAACGTGTGATCAAATAAAACAGTGATTCCTCTAATCTAGGAAATACAATAACACATATTTGAACACTTAAGGAATAAACAAGTAAAATGTAACAATGAAATACGTTCTTCTCAAATAAACATCTCTACATTGTAAATAAATCAAAGTGATAGGGGACACACCTATTCCCCCTCAGCTCTGAATCTAAGTGGTCAAAGGTGACATTTGACCATTAAACGTTATCACTGATCACTAAAGGTTGATCAATTGTTCACTTTGGTGATATGTTGCTATGATTCAAACTGTTCAGCGGTTCATGAGACGATTCATGATATATCTTGTAAGTGTCAAAGACGCAGGCACGGCTGTACAAAGTGACCATCATTTCCAACTGACGTAAGCATGGTATAAATATCTTTTAATGAATTAAAGAAGGTGAAACTATTCTCGCACCTCAGACAGTATATTCCACGTAGTACCCCTTCCTAGATTTTTCGATCTCACCCGGTCTGTCTAGTACCCTTACGTGCATTTTTGCGGATTTTTTTATGCATCGGTGTATTTATCCGCGTGTAGGCGTAGGTAGCACCTACAAGCGTGCGTTTCCACAAAAACATAGGTTATGTCGTTGTTAAAATTTCAACGATGGTCTATCTAATTAATTTCTGTAAAATGTGTTGTATTTTTTGTAAGTGCGGCCTACATTGTTTACGCGGCACTATCCATACGTTGTTCAAAAGTAATGAGGCTTTGTGGGCAGTTTGAGGCTCACACGGGATACGCCAAACTGAAATATTGAATAATTTTCAGAGTAGTAGGTGCCAGAAAAAATATTATCTGTAACTGAGCGAGATTGGATATCTTAGTCTCGAGCTAAGATCCTGTTACATCCCAACCTCGTCTAACGTCTCGGTTGGGATTATGTTACAGGATCTTAGCCCTCGACTGAGAAACCCCGATCTCGCTCAGTTACAGGTATCAGATTTGATTATTCTCTTACACGGAACAGGTAAATACACGCTTTTTAACAGTGTGAGATTTTCTTGTCTCACCCTAGAGTTGAGACGGGGGATTCCCTGTCAGGACAAGGATATGACGTCACAGTAACACTTTATTGATGTCGTATCAACAACTGAATCACGTTAACGATTTGAAGCATTTGGAAAACAAAACACATGCGATTACCTAATAAAGCCAACAGGTTGAGAGTAAAATAATGTTCAACCCCCTTGTTTGTGAAATAGAGTGATCTTAACCCTCCGGAAAAGATCATTAATTTGTAAACACTCGGCACGCCTAATGTTTGCTCAATTAATCATCTCTCCCCTCGCCTCCGGTTTAGATCCACCTGTCTCATATCCGAAGAGGCAAACGATTCTATCTATCCACATTATATATTACCTATCTGTGAGTTGATATGAACTGCACAACTGGAATCTCCCTGACCAGATTTACTGGATCTTTCAGCGTCGTAGTTGTTTTTGTTGACAAATGTCGCCTTTCCTTCTTCAGCCCTTTTATTTGTTTTGTCTCGTTTCCTGAAAACAAAGATATCAACCACTAAAAAACAAAAAAAGGTTTATTCTCAGCGCATGAAAAACACCTCTTTTTTTTTTTAAAAAAAAAAGTTCTCTGTTTTCGCCATATCTATAACCGGAAGTGCTCAAAACAGATATCTTGGATTTTGTCTTGGTTTTGTTTTTCGCCTACCAGTAGTAAACGCTAAAAAATATGAGCGAATGATCAGACGATGCGATGACAGATTCTTCTGTACATAGCAACCATATGATTCGCATTTGACAGACTACATCTACACTGTTTGAAGCTTACTTCAGTGACCAGAAACGGCGTTTGCCTTCAGAAAGCAAATTATTTTTCAAAACATTCAGCTGTATAAGAAACGGAAAGCTAAGATCAACGCCTATGGAGATTTAACATAAGAGCCGGCTCCCTCTTGGAATTTTAAAATCTGATTAATACAAAATTGTATGGGTATAGGAAGTTTAATACAGGAATGGTTAGAGTCAGAATTAATGCTATAAAAACTGAGACCTCATTGAACACCTTGGTGGATGTTAAAGGTGCTTACTATTCCAACTTTTATTTTGATATCAAACATTACCATATTTCAAGAAAGATATTTTTCTGTTGCAGTGAAAATTGAAACAGAAAAACATGTATTATGAGAAAATTACAATTGTGGACACGGTAATTTACAAACTTCTAAAAGCCTGTCTGTTTTCATACTTGCTTAAAAGTTTGCTACTAAATATTTTTCAACATAATGATTTATGAAAATGACAAGCGGTAAATTTGTCATTAACATATTTGCTTTTAAAAAGAAAAAGAGAGATTCATTCCATTTTCTCCTTAAATTATGTTCCTTCATGATCAAAATCAGTGGGTCTTTATATTTGGCAAGTAGGTTTTTCATGAGAATGGTTCACTTTGATGACCTTGACCTTCGTTCAACGTCATATTAATGCATTTGTTAAAATGCTAACAGTTTATTTAAAGATTGAATTTAAAAGATCTAGTAAGCAGATTGCTATGAATCTTGTTATGAAGGTTCATGTGGTCAATGAAGTGACCTTATCTGATAGTAATAGAGACCAGGTTTGCTTTTGACAGTTTTAGTCTTTGTGGCACTTCCGAGAAGTCAAATGGTGATAGTGCAGAAGCGGTACTCAATTAATTAAGTTGTAAGAATTGCTTTTTCGGTAAAACTTGCTTTCTGTGATTGCTTGTTAAGTCTCCACCCGGTGTCAGTTGCTCTGCAATGTACCTTGTGATCCCCACGTAACTATTTACACGTTAGATATTTCGTAACAAGTATGAGGAATTGGTTGGTTTTATCAGCTAGTCTAAAGAAATTGCGAGCGCACAGCAAATTGACAGTCCCTTACGACCCTCCTCTCTGGTATAGACATAAATCTGTCCACGCATAACATTCTATCAAGCTGTTGCTATTTTAGCCAGTTCCTCTATGATATTGAGGGAATAGTTTGAAATGAGTTGCACTTTGAATAACTTCCCCTGTTCCAAATGACAATGGTTTGTAGCTCTCTACTAATCATATTGAGTTTTTGCGCTGACAGTCATCGTTCGTAAACATTGTATCGGGCTGTCTGACCTGGCAGAAGATAAAAATGCATGTACAAAGAAAACCCTGGACCTCGCAACAGGTTCTTTACATTCCTTAACCCCCACAGGGTCAAGTTCTCAAAGTCTGGAAAAGCAATTTTCATAAACAAGAAACAATTACGCTTCTTTTGCCCACAGTGTGATGATCTTTGATGTGTATGACAAGCACTTTTTCGGACACTAATGTTAGTATCCTCAAGGATTCCACTTACTTTGTTCCCATAGAAACACATTGTCAACACTATGTTTTGGCATCAAGCAACCACAATGAATGTGTCTTGAATTCAGGAATCCAAGTACAACTGTCTTGATCAATGCCTGTAAGACGACGAGACACAGTTTTTTTGTAAGACCACACAAGACACCAAGTTGAAACCATGAAATGATGGTCTTCAACTTAACAATGAAGAGAAATAGATTATGACAAGTAGAGGTACATGATCCTCTATGGAATTGGTAGGAGCAAATGTGTATGTTCTGTATGTGCTCATGCGTGTATCCCGTCCAGGCTTTACAGTCCTCTTCCTTGAGATGGTTTGAGACCAGATCTGTTTTTGAGATGATTGTTAAATGGTTCCCTCGTCTACAGATCGATTGTCAATTTGGGATACGGGAAATTACCAGGGGAGAGGGCCCACGTGGTTGTATACCTCTTCGTGTCCGTTCTTGTATTCTGTGTTTTAATTTATCAAAGTTATGTATTATCTAATATTCCTTCATGTTTTGTTTGATGGAAAAAGACATAATGATAATAACATGTTTATTAGTTATATTATAATCATTATCTATTGTCTTTGTATATATGCACAACTTTCTTTATAACACAATTACAACCTTAAGCAGTTCATCAGGGGGATAGATTACTTTTGCAAAATGTATATTTGTGAGTTATTTCTGGTGCAAAAAATAATGTATAATATAATGAAGCGGTGTGGTATGATACAAAAATAGAAAATATATCGGTATTCACTATAAAAAATGATAATCAAATCTTCACGATTATTGAAAAAACGTGCATTAGACATGTTTGGCATGCTAAAAAGGATTTCACTGTTCTTGCTATTATATAAAATTGATTATGTTAGACAAGAAATGAATGACGCAAAGTTTTTAGATAAAAATATATCATACACTACAACTAAACATACTGAAGTTGATATGTTGGGCTTTTTTATTTCTTGAAAAAAATGCATGTTTTTAGGGGTTTTTTTTCGAAATAAAAGTTTTACCAGGCTTACCTCACTTTTGCAAATATGACATATTTTGTATCAAAATAAAGCAAATTTTACACTATTCACTCTCAAAATTTGTCTGAAATATTACATTATCTGTAATTTTGTTAGGGCACCGCCGTTACTCCACCCGGTGTTATGGAAGGAGGTCCATACCATAATCACTAAAATAATGACCTGTCATCTATGAAGTTATGGTTTATTTTTTCTATCTACAGATGCGGAAAAAATAAACGAAATGGAAGTGGGAGCCAAATGTTGACCTTTATACACTAATCGTGTTTGTTTAAAAGACGAAAATATGAAAGAATTCATAAAAAAAGATATGAATTAAAATTGATGGCCAACGGAAGTGCTAAAAGGTATCAAAGCAGAAAGACACATGCAAAAGCTTCCTGGATAAAGGGGAAGACAATAATGTATATATGTGACTGGAGAGTGACTAAGCATATAGATGGTCGAATACCCTATCAGTTAAAGTAAGATAATAGTAAAACATGTCAACTTGAATAGTGTCTGTTCACTCACAGAGAAGTTCGTTGTAAAATCGTTAAAATTTGTGATTGTGATGTGTCAGTTTATCGTAATATACAATATTACATAGACATTCAATCATATACTACAACAGTAACCAAGTCTACCTACCGTTTGATGCAAACTAGTGTTACAACCACCGCGAGAACCAGAACACCACCACCAACAGCCGCAGCAATGATCCATACTGCTACAAAACACACATGTTTAAAGAAAGACGTTGTTATGTAACGAATATAACTTTATAAGACACATAACTATTTGTATCAAATTATTGTAGGCTGTACAATTAACCTACCAGAAAGTTGTAATACTATACCCTAAACCTACCAGAAGGTTATATATACTGTACCCTTAACCTACCAGAAGGTTGTATATACTGTACCCTTAACCTACCAGAAGGTTGTATATACTGTACCCTTAACTCACCAGAAGGTTGTATATACTGTACCCTTAACTCATCAGAAGGTTGTATATACTGTACCCTTAACTAACCAGTAGGTTATATATAATGTACCCTTAACCTACCAGAAGGTTGTATATACTGTACCCTTAACTCACCAGAAGGTTGTATATACTGTACCCTTAACTCACCAGAAGGTTGTATATACTGTACCCTTAACTCACCAGAAGGTTGTATATACTGTACCCTTAACTCACCAGAAGGTTGTATATACTGTACCCTTAACCTACCAGAAGGTTGTATATACTGTATATACTGTACCCTTAACTCACCAGAAGGTTGTATATACTGTACCCTTAACTAACCAGAAGGTTGTATATACTGTACCCTTAACTCACCAGAAGGTTGTATATACTGTACCCTTAACTCACCAGAAAGTTGTAATACTATACCATTAACCTACCAGAAGGTTGTATATACTGTACCCTTAACCTACCAGAAGGTTGTATATACTGTACCCTTAACTCACCAGAAGGTTGTATATACTGTACCCTTAACTCATCAGAAGGTTGTATATACTGTACCCTTAACATACCAGAAGGTTGTATACTGTACCCTCAACCTACCAGAAGGTTGTATATACTGAACCCTTTAACTCACCAGAAGGTTGTATATAATGTACCCTTAACTCATCAAAAGGTTGTATACTGTACCCTTAGCTCACCAGAAGGTTGTATATACTGTACCCTTAACCTACAGAAGGTTGTATATACTGTACCCTTAACTCACCAGAAGGTTGTATATACTGTACCTAACAGAAGGTTGTATATACTGTACCCTTAACTAACCAGAAGGTTGTATATACTATAACTACAGGTTTAACCTAACAGAAGGTTGTATATACTGTACCCTTAACCTACCAGAAGGTTGTATATACTGTACCCTTAACCTACCAGAAGGTTGTATATACTGTACCCTTAACTCACCAGAAGGTTGTATATACTGTACCCTTAACCTACCAGAAGGTTGTATATACTGTACCCTTAATCTACCAGAAGGTTGTATATACTGTACCCTTAACCTACCAGAAGGTTGTATATACTGTACCCTTAACCTACCAGAAGGTTGTATATACTGTACCCTTAACTCACCAGAAGGTTGTATATACTGTACCCTTAACTCACCAGAAGGTTGTATATACTGTACCCTTAACTCACCAGAAGGTTGTATATACTGTACCATAACCTACCAGAAGGTTGTATATACTGTACCCTTAACCTACAGAAGGTTGTATATACTGTACCCTTAACTCACCAGAAGGTTGTATATACTGTACCCTTAACTAACCAGTAGGTTATATATAATGTACCCTTAACTCACCAGAAGGTTGTATATACTGTACCCTTAACCTACCAGAAGGTTGTAATACTATACCCTTAACCTACCAGAAGGTTGTATATACTGTACCCTTAACTCACCAGAAGGTTGTATATACTGTACCCTTAACCTACCAGAAGGTTGTATATACTGTACCCTTAACTCACCAGAAGGTTGTATATAATGTACCCTTAACCTACCAGAAGGTTGTATACACTGTACCCTTAACCTACAGAAGGTTGTATATACTGTACCCTTAACTAACCAGAAGGTTGTATATACTGTACCCTTAACCTACAGAAGGTTGTATATACTGTACCCTTAACTAACCAGAAGGTTGTATATACTGTACCCTTAACTCACCAGAAGGTTGTATATACTGTACCCTTAACTCACCAGAAGGTTGTATATACTGTACCCTTAACTAACCAGAAGGTTGTATATACTGTACCCTTAACTCACCAGAAGGTTGTATATACTGTACCCTTAACTAACCAGAAGGTTGTATATACTGTACCCTTAACTCACCAGAAGGTTGTATATACTGTACCCTTAACCTACAGAAGGTTGTATATACTGTACCCTTAACTCACCAGAAGGTTGTATATACTGTACCCTTAACCTACCAGAAGGTTGTATATACTGTACCCTTAACCTACAGAAGGTTGTATATACTGTACCCTTAACCCACCAGATGTTACTGTTATTTAACCTTAACCAGACAGATCTTTGGAAGTTAGAAATAATCTTACTTGAGGTTACACTGTTTTTTGCTTGGTCGTTAGAGACATGTGGTACGGATACGTTGTTAACAGTTCTGCATACGTTATCCATAGCATTAGAACCTACAAACAAAGTACAAAAGCAATGAAATGATCTATAAGACCAGTAGAAATCTACACTGTCAATATGGCATGCATTTCCATGATTTTATATTTGCAAAATAATTATCAAAATCTTCCAAATTTAGAACATCCATTAAAAATGGTCTACAAGTGTAGACATGACAACAACGACATCACTACTTTTATTTCTTAAGTCTAAAGTCATCTTTCTCTGGTTTACTGAGTCTGACATTTAATACTCCTTGAATTATCACTAGAACACTGACAGGTCAGCAAGCCCCCACGCCCCTCCCCCTCTCCTATGTGGCTGGAAATCCTCCACCCCCATCGACCAACCCGCCCTTAGACAAAATCACCCCAGGCTGACAGATTACTGACAAGAACTCAAGTACACTCTGCCACAAAAGTCAAGAAAGGCTGTTACGAAAAAAAAAAACATATTAACAAATACATTCATTAATCTTATTTCTTAATTTACAATAACTGTGACCTTGACCTTAGAACTTGGGATATAAAAGCGATATCCAAAGCAAGTACTTTTGGTATGGAAGCACTGTATGAAGTTTAATTTAGATTGGGCAAAGCAAATTCCAAGTTATCATACAGAAATTGATTTGACCTTTGACCTTTGGATCTGAATGACAATCTATCTGAAATAGCACTTTTGGTTAAGAAGTGTTTGCTACAGCAAACTCGAGTTATCAAAAAATGGACTTTAAGCATTATAGCAGCATTGACCTTAACCTTTGGGTCTGAAAAGTAATCCCCATCAAACACTTTAAGTAAGAAAGCATTCTATGAAGTTTGAGCTTGATTGGCCAAAGTAAATGTGAGTAATCGCAGGGAAACTGTTTTCATAGGAACAGTAACCTTGACTTTTGACCTTCAAAGCTGAAAAGCAATCTTGAAGCATTGTATGACGTTTGAGTGTGATTGGCCAAAGCAAATCTGAGTTATCGCAAGGAAACATATCTTTTTATTTATAGTAACAGTGATCTTGACCTTTGATCTTCTAAACTGTAAAGCTATCCTAAGCAAACACTTTCAGTAAGGAAGTACTGTATGAAGTTTGGGTAAGGTTGGCCAAAGCAAACTCAAGTTATTGCACGGAAACAAAAGTGCTGATGGGCAGACGGACGGACGGACAAACAGACGCAGTGAATACTACATGTGGGACGGTAGCAACCTAAGTAGTATACACTTATGTTAGCTTTGAAACGTGGTAATACCTTTCTTTATGCATACAAACGGCAGCTTCTCAGAGCAGTTTCTTGGCCCATCTTGTTGTATAATGCCATCCAACATTCTCACAGTGACACACTCCATTTCCGTACCTCCTACAATGTAAAGTGATATTTTCTGAAGACCTCAAGGTTGGTTTTTTCTTTACCAATTGAATAGTGTTGCTACAATGATATGTAAAGTAATCGAGAAAAAAATGGGTAAGATATTTTTCTGGTGTCTTCTGATTGTAACACCATATACCAAGTGATGAAGAAAGCTTCATCGAACACGACTCTTCTTGATAAGAGGGGCCTAGAAAACCAAGCATAAACAAGTCATCAGTATACACCTATTGATCAATTCATTTTTAGATCATATTACTGTAATCTTGGTATTGTGTGATATTTAATGAAAATCAAACAACGAGTTGAGCAGTTTTATATTATTTTCTATTATTTAAGCAAATCCTATTCAGGGTAAACATCAGATTCGTTCTTACCTGACTGAGGACTTATACCCGCATGAAACAAAGTCGTGTTGTCATCACATGACTTTAGAAGTATTTTTAAGTTGTTACTGTCCGCTAGGTAAGAAGCGTTGTCTGAACAAGTCTTATTGGCGTCGTCAAATGACATGGGTGTATTGAAGACCATGGCGGAAAAATCCCCTTCTGCAATTAAAAACAACTGTTCAGGAATCTATCATGACTATGACTATATAAGGTATGAAGTCTAGATGACAAGAGGATCAGTGTTTTGCTAACTATGAACGTTAATATATTTCAATAATTCATTTAATCCAATTATTTTGAAAGTGTTACCTAATGCCTGGTGTTTAGTTAGTTTGTATAGTGTTTTATCGAGTAATTAAAAATGCAAGATTGGCTTAAAATATTATTGGATCGATGAAATATGTCACCACACTTGACGGCAAATTGTAAATTGATTTGGTATGAGTCTAATAATATTTTGAACAAAAATGGTAAAGCGATTTCAACTCAGACTATCACAGACTAAACCCGGACTATCACAGACTAAACCCGGACTATCACAGACGAAACCCGGACTATCACAGACTAAACCTGGACTATCACAGACTAAACCCGGACCATCACACACTAAAGCTGGACTATCACACACTAAACCCGGACTATCACAAACTAAACCCGGACTATCACAGACTAAACCCGGACTATCACAGACGAAACCCGGACTATTACAGACTAAACCCGGACTATCACAGACTAAACCTGGACTATCACAGACTAAGCCCGGACCATCACAGACTAATCATGGACTATCACAGACTAAACCCGGACTATTACAGACTAAACCCGGACTATCACAGACTAAACCTGGACTATCACAGACGAAACCCGGATTATTACAGACTAAACCTGGACTATCACAGACTAAACCTGGACTATCACAGACTAAACCCCGACTATTACACACTAAAGCTGGACTATCACAAACTAAACTTCGGACTATCACAGACTAAACCCGGACTATCACACAATAAAGCTGGACTATCACAGACTAAACCCGGACTATTACAGACTAAACCCGGACTATCACAAACTAAACCTGGACTATCACAGACGAAACCCGGACTATTACAGACTAAACCTGGACTATCACAGACTAAACCTGGACAATCACAGACTAAACCCGGACTATTACAGACTAAACCTGGACTATCACAGACTAAACCCGGACTATCACAGACTAAACCCGGACTATCACAGACTAAACCCGGACTATCACACACTAAAGCTGGACTATCACAGACTAAACCTGGACTATCACAGACTAAACCCGGACTATCATACACTAAACCCGGACTATTACAGACGAAACCCGGACTATTACAAAACCTGGACTATCACAGACGAAACCCGGACTATCACACAATAAAGCTGGACTATCACAGACTAAACCCGGACTATTACAGACTAAACCCGGACTATCACAAACTAAACCTGGACTATCACAGACGAAACCCGGACTATTACAGACTAAACCTGGACTATCACAGACTAAACCTGGACAATCACAGACTAAACCCGGACTATTACAGACTAAACCTGGACTATCACAAACTAAACCCGGACTATCACAGACTAAACCCGGACTATCACAGACTAAACCCGGACTATCACAGACTAAACCCGGACTATCACAAACTAAACCTGGACTATCACAGACTAAACCCGGACTATCATAGACTAAACCCGGACTATTACAGACGAAACCCGGACTATTACAAAACCTGGACTATCACAGACGAAACCCGGACTATTACAGACTAAACCTGGACTATCACAGACTAAACCTGGACTATCACAGACGAAACCCGGACTATTACAGACTAAACCTGGACTATCACAGACGAAACCTGGACAATCACAGACTAAACCCGGACTATTACAGACTAAACCCGGACTATCACACACTAAACCCGGACTATCACAAACTAAACCCGGACTATCACAGACTAAACCCGGACTATCACAGACTAAACCCGGACTATCACAGACTAAACCTGGACTATCACAGACGAAACCCGGACTATTACAGACTAAACCTAGACTATCACAGACTAAACATGGACTATCACAGACTAAATCCGGACTATCACAGACTAAACCCGGACTATCACAAACTAATGCCATCTAATCTAAATTCGTACGATGACCGTTCGTTTTGTTATTCGTTATTTTGCATTGATGACCGTTCGTTTTTCATACATTTTTGTGATATATTTAGATGTTTAGTAAATTAATTATTCATTTTGTAATGACGTATTGTTTACCTTTTCTGTCACCCATACTATCACGGAAGAAACTAAGACAATTATAGACTAAACTTAAACTTGGACTTCAGTCGGACAATCATGGACTCACTGTGATTATCACAGAATAAATCCGGGCTATTACGGACAACAAACGAACTTTCACGAATGCATATGACGCATTTTTTTCAGTCTGAAGTTTTCCCTACAACAAATCGGGAAAATTTTTGTCATCAGAATTATTTTTATCAATATGGCTAAGAGTAATTGCCGAAATATCGACATCAATTTCAACAGCGAGTGTAACTATGCCATGACAATATATCGATATTAGCTACAACAGTGAGTGTTATAAGGCCACGACAATATATCGATATTAGCTACAACAGTGAGTGTTGTAAGGCCACGACAATATATCGATATTAGCTACAACAGTGAGTGTTATAAGGCCACGACAATATATCGATATTAGCTACAACAGTGAGTGTTACACGGCCATGACAATATATCGATATTAGCTACAACAGTGAGTGTTGTAAGGCCACGACAATATATCGATATTAGCTACAACAGTGAGTGTTGTAAGGCCACGACAATATATCGATATTAGCTACAACAGTGAGTGTTATAAGGCCACGACAATATATCGATATTAGCTACAACAGTGAGTGTTGTAAGGCCACGACAATATATCGATATTAGCTACAACAGTGAGTGTTATAAGGCCACGACAATATATCGATATTAGCTACAACAGTGAGTGTTATAAGGCCACGACAATATATCGATATTAGCTACAACAGTGAGTGTTATAAGGCCACGACAATATATCGATATTAGCTACAACAGTGAGTGTTGTAAGGCCACGACAATATATCGATATTAGCTACAACAGTGAGTGTTATAAGGCCACGACAATATATCGATATTAGCTACAACAGTGAGTGTTACACGGCCATGACAATATATCGATATTAGCTACAACAGTGAGTGTTATAAGGCCACGACAATATATCGATATTAGCTACAACAGTGAGTGTTGTAAGGCCACGACAATATATCGATATTAGCTACAACAGTGAGTGTTATAAGGCCACGACAATATATCGATATTAGCTACAACAGTGAGTGTTATAAGGCCATGACAATATATCGATATTAGCTACAACAGTGAATGTTATAAGGCCACAATATATCGATATTAGCTACAACAGTGAGTGTTATAAGGCCACGACAATATATCGATATTAGCTACAACAGTGAGTGTTGTAAGGCCACGACAATATATCGATATTAGCTACAACAGTGAGTGTTATAAGGCCACGACAATATATCGATATTAGCTACAACAGTGAGTGTTATAAGGCCATGACAATATATCGATATTAGCTACAACAGTGAATGTTATAAGGCCACAATATATCGATATTAGCTACAACAGTGAGTGTTATAAGGCCATGACAATATATCGATATTAGCTACAACAGTGAGTGTTATAAGGCCACAATATATCGATATTAGCTACAACAGCGAGTGTTATAAGGCCATGATACTATATCGACATTAGCTACAACAGTGAATGTTACGCCACAACATTATATCAACATTAGTTACAACTGTTATACGGAGGCTTCCCAAATTAACACCATCTGTTAAGTTGATTGAGTGCTTTTTGTCATTTGACTTCGTGTAAAGTACTTCAATATATATCAGTATACAGAAAGTGTTGTTTGATAAGCTTAATGTCTACAGTTTACCTAGCGACCGTAGTGTCTACAACACACGTATGTTAGCATGGTGTCTACAGCACACTTGCGCTGGCATGGTGTCTACAACACACGTATGTAAGCATGGTGTCTACAGAACACTTGCGCTGGCATGGTGTCTACAACACATGTATGTTAGCATGGTGTCCACAGAACACTTGCGCTGACGTGGTGTCTACAACACATATATGCTGCGATGATATCTAAAGCACATGTACACTGGCATGGTGTCTACATCATACGTACATCAGAACAGTGTCTACGGTACACTTGCGCTAGCGTGGTGTCTACACATGTACATATGTATGCTGACCTGGTGTCTTCAGCCCATGCACGATGATGGTGCTTGCAGTATACTTATACTGGCGCGATGTCTACAGCACTTTATGCTGCTTCAAGTCTCTTCGCGAAATGCATTGCTGTTACACAATAGTTATGGTAAGTTTAAAACTTACTTTCACACACGTCATCAACATATAAAGCGTCGTGGTCACACAGACATCGATAGCTGTTACCGACAGATTTACACTTCAGGTCACCAAGGCAGGAGTCTTCTTGTCCGAGAGGACACTCGTTATTGTATCTTTTTCCTGTAAGCAATTATAGTTTTATTTGTACATAGCCCTACGTTTACTTTTACTTTATAAGTAATACAATTGTAATTGTAGAATAAAACTTCTAATAACACAACGAGTAGAAGTTTTCAGTAAACGTTTCAATGACTACCAGGTGATAATGAAGTCGTGGAAACGTCACACTCAAATCTTCTTGTTTTAACTGTACTCTTAAAGTATTCATAATTTTGTCTCTATTCTGTAAGTAATCGTAGTTTTGAATTCAATTTGTAAAATCTGGACAGATCAATGCATATAACTACAGTCATTATGGATACATAATAACTGCCGTATAGTCAGTCTGGATACATAATTATCTTTGTATAGTCAGTCTGGATACCTAATCATCGCCGTATAGTCAGTCTGGATACATAATCATCGCCGTATAGTCAGTCTGGATACATAATTATCGCCGTATAGTCAGTCTGGATACATAATTATCGCCTTATAGTCAGTCTGGATACATAATCATCGCCGTATAGTCAGTCTGGATACATAATTATTGCCTTATAGTCAGTCTGGATACATAATTATCACCTTATAGTCAGTCTGGATACATAATTATCGCCGTATAGTCAGTCTGGATACATAATCATCGCCTTATAGTCAGTCTGGATACATAATTATCGCCGTATAGTCAGTCTGGATACATAATCATCGCCGTAAAGTCAGTATAGATACATACATACCGTAGTATAGTCAGTATATATACATAATTATCACCGTATAGTCAGTCTGGATACATAATCATCGCCGTATAGTCAGTCTGGATACATAATTATCGCCGTATAGTCAGTCTGGATACATAATTATCGCCGTATAGTCAGTCTGGATACATAATTATCGCCGTATAGTCAGTCTGGATACATAATTATCACCTTATAGTCAGTCTGGATACATAATCATCGCCGTATAGTCAGTATGGATACATAATTATCGCCGTAAAGTCAGTATGGATACATAATTATCGCCGTATAGTCAGTCTGGATACATATTATCACCTTATAGTCAGTCTGGATCATATTTATCTTCGTATAGTCAGTCTGGATAAATAATTATCTTCGTATAGTCAGTATGGATACATAATTATCGCCTTATAGTCAGTCTGGATACATAATTATCACCGTATAGTCAGTATACATACATAATTATCGCCTTATAGTCAGTCTGGATACATAATTATCACCATATAGTCAGTCTGGACACATATAGTCATCTGGATACATAATTATCGCCTTATAGTCAGTCTGGATACATAATTATCACCGTATAGTCAGTCTGGATACATAATCATCGCCGTATAGTCAGTCTGGATACATAATTATCACCTTATAGTCAGTCTGGATACATGATTATCACCTTATAGTCAGTCTGGATACATAATTATCACCTTATAGTCAGTCTGGATACATAATCATCGCCGTATAGTCAGTCTGGATATATAATCATCGCTGTATAATCAGTCTGGATACATAATTATCGCCGTATAGTCAGTCTGGATACATAATTATTGCCTTATAGTCAGTCTGGATACTTAATTATCTTCGTATAGTCAGTCTGGATACATAATTATCGCCTTATAGTCAGTCTGGATACATAATCATCGCCTTATAGTCAGTCTGGATACATAATTATCGCCTTATAGTCAGTCTGGATACATAATTATCGCCTTATAGTCAGTCTGGATACATAATTATCACCGTATAGTCAGTCTGGATACATAATTATCGCCTTATAGTCAGTCTGGATATATAATTATGAGATGTATTATTATCTTTACAGTAACTAATCAGGAGATGTATAATGATAGTTATAGTCTGGATATATAATTATCACCTTATAGTCAGTCTGGATACATAATCATCACGGTATAGTCAGTTTTGATACATAATTATAGCCGTATAGTCAGTATACATACATAATTATCGCCTTATAGTCAGTCTGGATACATAATTATCACCGTATCGTCAGTCTAGACACATAATTATCGCCTTATAGTCAGTCTGGATACATATTTATCTTCGTATAGTCAGTCTGGACACATAATTATCGCCTTATAGTCAGTCTGGATACATATTTATCTTCGTATAGTCAGTCTGGATACATAATTATCGCCTTATAGTCAGTCTGGATACATAATTATCGCCTTATAGTCAGTCTGGATACATAATTATCGCCGTATAGTCAGTCTGGACACATAATTATCGCCTTATAGTCAGTCTGGATACATAATTATCACCGTATAGTCAGTCTGCACACATAAATATCGTCTTATAGTCAGTCTGGATACATAATTATCACCGTATAGTCAGTCTGGATACATAATTATCACCGTATAGTCAGTCTGGATACATAAATATCGTCTTATAGTCAGTCTGGATACATAATTATCACCGTATAGTCAGTCTGGATACATAATTATCACCGTATAGTCAGTCTGCACACATAAATATCGTCTTATAGTCAGTCTGGATACATAATTATCACCGTATAGTCAGTCTGGATACATAATTATCGCCGTATAGTCAGTCTGGATACATACATTATTATGCACACATAAATATCGTCTTATAGTCAGTCTGGATACATAATTATCACCATATAGTCAGTCTGGATACATAATTATCACCTTATAGTCAGTCTGGACAAATAATTATCGCCGTATAGTCAGTCTGGATACATAATTATCACCTTATAGTCAGTCTGGATATATAATTATCACCATATAGTCAGTCTGGATACATAAATATCGTCTTATAGTCAGTCTGGATACATAATTATCACCGTATAGTCAGTCTGCACACATAAATATCGTCTTATAGTCAGTCTGGATACATAATTATCACCTTATAGTCAGTCTGGATACATAATTATCACCTTATAGTCAGTCTGGATACATATTTATCTTCGTATAGTCAGTCTGGACAAATAATTATCGCCTTATAGTCAGTCTGGATACATATTTATCTTCGTATAGTCAGTCTGGACAAATAATTATCGCCGTATAGTCAGTCTGGATACATAATTATCACCTTATAGTCAGTCTGGACAAATAATTATCGCCGTATAGTCAGTCTGGATACATAATTATCACCTTATAGTCAGTCTGGATATATAATTATCACCATATAGTCAGTCTGGATACATAATTATCACCTTATAGTCAGTCTGGATACATAATTATCGTCTTATAGTCAGTCTGGATACATAATTATCGTCTTATAGTCAGTCTGGATACATAATTATCACCGTATAGTCAGTCTGGATACATAATTATCGCCGTATAGTCAGTCTGGATACATAATTATCACCGTATAGTCAGTCTGCACACATAAATATCGTCTTATAGTCAGTCTGGATACATAATTATCGCCATATAGTCAGTCTGGATACATAATTATCGCCGTATAGTCAGTCTGGATACATAATTATCGCCTTATAGTCAGTCTGGATACATAATTATCGCCTTATAGTCAGTCTGGATACATAAATATCGTCTTATAGTCAGTCTGCACACATAAATATCGTCTTATAGTCAGTCTGGATACATAATTATCGCCGTATAGTCAGTCTGGATACATAATTATCGCCTTATAGTCAGTCTGGATACATAATTATCGCCTTATAGTCAGTCTGGATACATAATTATGAGATGTATTATTATCTTTACAGTAACTAATCAGGAGATGTATAATGATAGTTATAGTCTGGATATATAATTATCACCTTATAGTCAGTCTGGATACATAATTATCGTCTTATAGTCAGTCTGGATACAGAATCATAGCGGTATAGTCAGTTTTGATACATAATTATAGCCGTATAGTCAGTATACATACATAATTATCGCCTTATAGTCAGTCTGGATACATAATTATCACCGTATAGTCAGTCTGGACACATAATTATCGCCTTATAGTCAGTCTGGATACATATTTATCTTCGTATAGTCAGTCTGGATACATAATTATCACCGTATAGTCAGTCTGCACACATAAATATCGTCTTATAGTCAGTCTGGATACATAATTATCACCGTATAGTCAGTCTGGATACATAATTATCACCGTATAGTCAGTCTGCACACATAAATATCGTCTTATAGTCAGTCTGGATACATAATTATCACCGTATAGTCAGTCTGGATACATAAGTATCGCCGTATAGTCAGTCTGGATACATAATTATCACCGTATAGTCAGTCTGGATACATAATTATCGCCTTATAGTCAGTCTGGATACATAAATATCGTCTTATAGTCAGTCTGGATACATAATTATCGCCTTATAGTCAGTCTGGATACATAAATATCGTCTTATAGTCAGTCTGGATACATAAATATCGTCTTATAGTCAGTCTGGATACATAATTATCGCCGTATAGTCAGTCTGGATACATAATTATCGCCTTATAGTCAGTCTGGATACATAATTATCACCGTATAGTCAGTCTGGACACATAATTATCGCCTTATAGTCAGTCTGGATACATAATTATCTTCGTATAGTCAGTCTGGATACATAATTATCGCCTTATAGTCAGTCTGGATACATAATTATCGCCGTATAGTCAGTCTGGATACATAATTATCGCCGTATAGTCAGTCTGGATACATAATTATCGCCTTATAGTCAGTCTGGATACATAATTATCACCGTATAGTCAGTCTGCACACATAAATATCGTCTTATAGTCAGTCTGGATACATAATTATCGTCTTATAGTCAGTCTGGATACATAATTATCACCGTATAGTCAGTCTGGATACATAATTATCGTCTTATAGTCAGTCTGGATACATAATTATCACCGTATAGTCAGTCTGGATACATAATTATCACCGTATAGTCAGTCTGGATACATAATTATCGCCTTATAGTCAGTCTGGATACATAATTATCACCGTATAGTCAGTCTGGACACATAATTATCGCCTTATAGTCAGTCTGGATACATATTTATCTTCGTATAGTCA